TCTTCTATGATTTTGTTGAATATATTCTGTGCATTTTGGCTAGAATTCTTTTCCTTTTTCTATTCTCTTATTTGGTATTTTCATGGTATCCCATATTTCCTTGATAGTCTGAATAAAGTTTTTGTTAGAGTTAATGTTTTGTTTGACCAATGAGTCTATTTCCTCTTTTGTATCCTTAGAACTCGAGATTCTCTCTTCCATCTCTTGTATTCTGCTGTTTATTCTTGCATTTGTGGTTCCTGATAATTTTCTCATAATTTACATTTCTATACTTCCCTCAGATTGTGTTTTCTTTATTGTCTCTACTTTCGTTTTCAAGTCTTGAATTGTGTCCATCTTCTGATTGCTTTTTCTTAGTTTTCTTCAAGGGATTTGTTGATTTCTTCCAATTTTTTTTATTTGTCTTTTCCTCCATTTCTTCCAGGGAATTTTTCATTTCTTCTTTAAGGGCCTCCAGTGTTCTTCTAAACTTATTTTTTAGGTTATTTTCTTCTGCTACATCTATATTTTAGTGTTCAGGTCTTGATGTTGTAGGGCTACTAGATTTTGTTGGTCATATTGCTCTTGGTGTTGAGTGTGTTCTTACCTTGTCTATCTACCTTTTCCTCTGATTGGTGTACTTGGGGCTGAGTTTCTGGTGATCTGTCTTCCATGTGACAGTGGGTCCAAGGTCAACTCATGATGCAGTCAGGCAGTCACCCGAGAGGTCACTCAGTGTTCACAGAGGTCATTCAGCACTCCCAGGAGTCACTCTGCAATTCCTGGGGTCACTTGGACCTGCTTCCATGAAGGTTGCTAGTTTGTGGCTGTTTCCACTGAGATTGCTGCCTTGGGCTTGCTCCAGCAGAGGTCATTATCTCAGGCCTGCTCCCTTTGTGCTGGCTCCCTTGTACCTGCCCCAGTAGAGATCATTGCCTTGGGCCTGCTCCAGAGGAAGTCACTGGCTCAAACCTGCTCCTGTGGAGGTCGCTGCCCACTGCCTCAGGTCTGCTTAGGCTGAGGTTCCTGGCTCAGGTCTGTTCCAACAGATGTCCCTGACTCACACTCAGTCCCTCAGAGGTCTCTAAGATACCAGTATTTGTTGGGGACATGATGCTATGTTTTGGGTATGTTCATAATCATGCGAAATGTTGTCATTCACTTTCTGATGGCCATCAAACTTTTTCATCTGCATGTACTTGAATTTTCTAATCCATAACTTGACACAGAGCTCAAAATTAGTATCCCCTTTGCTCTAGCTGTGTTCTAGACAAAATTCTGAGTGTTTTTCATTAACCCTCCCAAAATCTAAACAAGTGACTCCTTTTATTTGTTTCAAGATAAGAATACTGAAGCTTCAGTTCATTAACAATGGCACAGCAGTGTTTCACATAAAGGTTACACCTGATTATTTTAAAGTTGATTAGACTCTGATAGGATACCTTAGTAGAACGGTTTAAAATATTGTTGAACCTTGTAAATTGTTATGGTGATGTGTAGTTTGGTTTTCTACACATTATTTGTACATGTCAGTGAGTGTGCTCATCTTTCTTGCTGTGATAAGAAAGTCAGAGAGATATGTGACTACAAGTTGATGTTAAATGTTGTAAATCTTTAAGCACTTTAAATTTATTTTTGTTAAGATGGATAGCCCTTTGGCTTTTTTTTTAAGTTTTTATTACCAGGAAAAGGCAGTTATTGCAAAGTGTCTGGCGACTTTTATGGGATTTCTTATTGCTTTGAAGTAATGCTTTATTGGAGTAAAATTACCAACTAGTACTTTTGTAAATGGAAGAACTTCCTTCCGATAAGATATGAGAATGGTAACCAATTCCATGTCTAGTTCTCATAAACACATGAAGTCTTCCTGGACTGTATTAAAGAATACAAGGAGGCAGGAATTTAAATATTTGTGAATTTCATTTTATTCAAGTCGCTGTCTTTTTAGGGTTAACACTACGTCACTTTTACTGGAAACCAAAAGCTTTCAAGGGTTTTAAGATGTATTCTTAAAATGATATCTCAGCTAGTCAGCTTAATTTAAAATTAAATTCCCTTTAGCAGAGTGAATTACCTCTGAGCTGTGTCCTCATGTGCACACAGGTCCCTGGAGACAAGGCACTGGTTTCTCAAGAAGATGACAATGCAGTTCTTAGTCACAGTACCGTGTCTTTGTTTCTTTACTCCATTTTTCTATGTCATCATTTTTCTTTCTTCTGCTTTTATTCATGCTTGAGTACTGTGTTTACTTCATTTCCAGCCCACATCCACCTTTCTTCAACTCTTTCCATTCCCATCTCCCCACCTTCTCTCAACTTCATAGCTTCATCTTTAATTATTACTGTTATATAGCAATATATGTATATAAATACAACACAAAAGGTCCATTTAGTGTTGCCCAACTTTACGTGTGTTTAGGGCTGACCACTTTGGATTAGAGAAACTATCAGAGCCTGTCTCTTTTTCTTAGAAGCTATTAATTGCTGACAGATCTTCATCTAAGAGTAGGGTTTTCTGAGATTTCTCCCATCGGGATGTCAACTGGTGCTGTCGTGCAGGTCTTTTAAGACACCATTTTGTTGAGATTTCACTGGTGCAACTCCCTGTAATGGGCAGATGACAAATATCTTGTAGTTGATGTCCTGGTCCTCTGAATCTCAAAACCTTTCTTCCTCCTCTTCCAAGATGTTTTGTGTGCCTTAGGTGTAGGGCTTGTGTTGTAGATGCATCAGTTGGGGATGAGCACTCTACAGTTATCTGCCTTGTGACCAGTTGTGAATTTCTGTAACCATTTCCCTGTGCTGCAAAAAGAACCTTTGACTAGGGGTGAGAGCAAGTGAGGTCATGGGCCCTAGAGAACCTATGATTGCCATGTTCCTAAACCAAAACAATTCTCAGTTGCTTTCTAAATACCTATCAGAGAGCCAAAACTGCTACTTTTGTTTACCCTCCCCTTTCCTTTAGATATCTCTCCAATTATATGATGCAGTTTCTTGTTAGGTTCTTCTCCTAAAACTAGACACCAATGGTGACCTTGTTAACTTTTTTCTCAAGTCAAGTATCTGCGACCTGTACGGGAACTTAATTTATATGTTTCACATTCATACCTGGAGGGATAGATATTACATCATGGTGATAACACCCCCACTAAAACCATCTGTGTCGTATACAGAGGTAGTGAGGACCATAGATCTACTCACTTGCATCAGAATGTCTGAAAGCAGGCTGGGGAGATGCTTTTGATTTTCAGGGGACAATCTCTGACCAAGTGAGGTATTACTACAGCTCAGCAGTGAATAATAATAATGATAGCAATAATACAATAACAGTTTATTGTTTTGAAATATTGTGGTTAAATCTAGATTGTGAGTCAGCAGATTTAGTTTTGAGCTAAATCTGGCGTGGTGCATTTTTGGGCACAGACCTTCATAGCAGCACCCTGTCAGTATCTATTCATTAGCTCCTGTCAGTATCTGTTTCTGTATTGCCGTGGCAGAAGTACGAAGCTGGAAAACAGACCTATAATACTCTAGTCCTTCACACATATACCATAGCTTCTTAATGGTGATTCTCGATCTCACAATGACTGGTATGAAAATTTTGGCAACAATAAAGGGTTTCTGAATATGAAATGACCACAAGTTAATTCAAAACCAACCCTGTAATGAACTTACGGTGCTTCTAACAGCATTTGTCCATGTCACACCACGAGTCACTGCAGCTTTGGTGTCGGGCACTTTGTACTATGTTTGTGTTTGCTCATTCCGTACAGTCCCAACGGCATTGCCTCAAACAGGGTCACTCGGTCATGTGACTATCATATACTACAAGCAGCAGTGCTTTTAACTGTAGAAACAAAGTTGGATGCTTTTATAGAAACAAATGATTAACCATGAAAGATATGAGTTTCCTATCACTGGTCTGCACCATATAAAAATTATATTAATATATCTTTGGATTCTACTGTATAAGAATTTTTTCTTTAAAATTATTTTTAGTGACTAATTTTAGTTTATTGAAAATTATTAAATGAATGTTGACTTGGGATGAAAATAGAATTTCCAACAGTTTCTGAATGGTCCTAAGCCTACCCCTGCCACTCTGTGTTTTATTCAAAGCACTATTCTTGGCATTGAAGATTAAATAAAAACATTGATCAACTCTGAAATACATGGTGAAGGACAAAGCACTGCAATCTGAAATGTTTAACCAAGATTCACTCCTTCATGTTAAAAGCGACAAACATACCCATTTTATATTAGGCAAATTTTTCTTTAGTCTTTCAGAAATGGTAAATTTATATGTATAATAAGTTTAAAAATATTTATTTATGTGTGTGTGTGTGTGTGTGTCTGTCAGTCTGTCTCTCTGTCTGTCTGTCTGTGTACTCCCAAGAGTGTGTGCAGGTGTATTAGCTTGTTCTTAACTACAAAAACTAGAAAAGAGCATCTGGTGCTCACTCTGCCACTCACTGCCGTTTAGCCAGGGTCTCTCCCTGAACCTGGGCCTATCAGTCCTCCTTTCTCACAGCCTTGAACATGGAGGTCCAGGCATGCACAGGACTTCTGACTTGTTTCATGGGTGCTTGGATCGAATTCTGGTCCTAAATGTGAATCAAGTGCTCTTAACAGCTGAGTTACCCCTCTAGTCCTAAAGAAATGTTTTAAGATACATTCCTTTATGATTTATTATCAGTAAATGTTTTATTTTTATAGCTATTTTATAAACCTATATACACAAGGTTTTATTAAAATTCTCAGATGAAAAGTAGTTACTGTTACAAAATAGTTAATAAGTCCTGCTCTAGATGCTGGGTTTTATACAAGTCTATGTGTGTGGAAAACAAAAGAACACTGGTCAGAATTAGTTAAGGGAATTTTTCAAGGTGCATACTGTTCTCTATGGGTTGAGGGCTACTAACTTAAAATTCATGAACTAACTGATTCAGATTTCTTTAAGATCACTATATTTGTCAGTTTAACACAGACAACATGAAATTGATTATTTTATTTTTTTTACAGGGCTGTGGAAAGAAAATGTATTCCTTTTTGAGAGGAACCAAACAATTGCAAGTGCTAAGGTTTCTGGGGATCTCCATTGGTGTGACGCAGATCCTGGCCATGATTCTCACCATCACTCTACTCTGGGCTCTATATTATGACCGAAGGGAGCCCGGGACAGACCAGATGCTGTCTCTGAAGAATGAGGCTTCCCAGCACCTACCATGCCACTCTGTGGAACTGTTAAAACCAAGCCTTCCCAGGATCTTTGAGCACACGTCCATGGCTGGCAGCTTCAGCACACACTTCGAGATGGAAGAACTGTGAGAAATGCCAAAGAAGCAAGTCACGAAGTGAAGGAAGACGCTAGTGAGTTCTGGGTATGCAGCTACCTGTTTCAGAAGTTTTCAAACACAGGGATAGTCTGCAAAAGAACGTCTAAGCACACAATTTTCACTCTTTCAAACAAAAGCTTGTAGCAGGCTTTCAGACTGTCAGCCCCCCAGGTAGAACACAGGGACTTATTAGTTATGAATGCTTGGCTTCATCATATGCTGGTCTCACTGGCTCCTATAACTTATTTTAAACTATTTGACTCTTTCTCTTTCTTTCATTCTGTATGTCTTACTTTTCCTGCTTCTTCTGTGGCTGACTGGCCCTGGGTATCTCCCTCTCTTTCTCTCATTCTCTCTTCTCTTCTCTTCTCTTCTCTTCTCTTCTCTTCTCTTCTCTTCTCTTCTCTTCTCTTCTCTTCTCT